CGTGAGTAGGTGAGGTTGGGAATTTAAGAGGAGGAGAATATAAAGATTATAATACGAACAACGGGTGGGGTTGTGTTGGAAGTAGGGGTAAAAAGATTAAAGAGAAGGAAAATGGGTGGGGGAAGAGGCGAGATCGAAGGAGGGAGGGATAAAGATTACAATACAAGCAGCTGAAAAACTTAAATGTAAACATGTGTATTTTTTTCTGTCATGCCTGTCCTCCCCCCCCCCCCAATCCCCTTCTCTCTCCGCTCTATCTAAGCATATAATTATATTATACACATACACTTATCAAAATGAGATTATCCCTCGAGGTAAGCTTAAAATGTTCTAACAACATTATTTTTCTGCCACTGTTTCGTTGTGGGCATTCCCAATTCAAAAGGCTTTTTTGAGTTAGGCACAAACTTCGCTTACTTTCGTTAATTAATAGGTACTGGTTATGTAAACCTCGAGGTAACATGTATAGGCAAACATTCTAATAGTAAAAATATAAGAAAACAAAAAATTTATTTTCAATATAAAGATGATAAATAGCCTTTGGTCAGATCACAAGTAACCAACATTACTCCAAACACACACACACACACACACACACACACACATACACACGCACACACAAACACACACACACATACACACTGCGGGGGATAGATAGATAGATAGATAGATAGATAGATAGATAGATAGATAGATAGATAGATAGATAGAAGATGAGCCTAAGGGAGAATAGACATGAGGGAGGACAGGAAAAAGGAAAAAAAGCCCCCAGAGAAACGTTTAGGGAGAGTAGTACAAAAGTTTGGGCGACAGGCAGCTTTGCAATAGAAGAAAATCAAGATACTCAGAAACATAAAGTAACAATATACTCGCAACCCAGTCAGCGATAGTATAGAAAAAAACCTTCAAAAGCCTCACCTCATTATAAGGATACGCCTGCCACACTGTTCCATCTATTGAAGTACTCAAGGTTATCTTCTCCATATCACCTGTTTGGTCAAAGGTTCGCAGTAAATTAAGTAATTGTATGTGTATCTATGTATCTATCTAGTAGGCAGTAGGCAGGTAAGCTATTAGGCTGGTGGGTAGGTAGGTAGGTAGGTATATATATAGGTACTATGTAGGTAGGTAGGTAAATAGGTAAGTAGGTAGGTAGGTAGGTAGGTATAGTTAGGTGGGTGGGTATGTAGGTAGGTAGACAGGAAGGTGAGTAGGTAGTTAGGTAGGTAGGTAGGTAAGTAGGTAGGTAAGTAGGTAGGTAGGTAAGTAGGTAAGTAGATAAGTAGGTAGGTAGGTAGGTAGGTAGGTAGGTAGGTAGGTAGGTAAGTATGTGGACGTGTGCATGTGTGTATCTATCTATCTAGCAATTTGTATTTCATGTTCTTCAGGTTCGCCTCCCCCTCCCCCACCGGGGCCTCCAACACTAGTATTTCTTCCCTTATTTTTCCTTCGCCCTCCATCCCTTTCACCTCTCTCCCCACCCTGTACTATCCCCCTTCGCTATAAAGTCACTGTTGATTGTTTTAAAAAAATAGTACTCTCCTTATGATTATTGAGGCGCAGACAATGTTGTGTTAGTTTTGTGTTGCCATATTTTTGTTCCTTTTCTCTCTTTTTTTTCTCTTTTTTTCTTAGTTCTTTCTGTTATTTTATTGTTATGAAATGATTTTTTGTTTTTTTGTTTCCTTAATGGGCCTTGTGGACTCCACGAAGAAATCTTTGAGCGAGAGCGCGGATCTTTTTCGGCTCCATTGTCATTATACTTAGAGGCACCTTCACTCGTCCAAATAACTCCATTCTTGTTGTCATTGTTCCTGGACATTCAAACATATGTTTGACATCCTCCATTTTGATGATGCTGATGTTGATGCTGATGATGATGATGATGATGATGATGATGATGATGATGATGATGATGATGATGATGATGATGATGATGAGGATGAGGATAAGGATGATGATGATGATGATGATGATGATGATGATGATGATGATGATAATGACGACGACCATGCTATCAATAGGCAACTGTGCCAGATATCTCTCTTGCCCTTTTTAATTCCCAGTGGAGCAAAGGCCATCAACAACATTATTCCAGCGAAGCCTGTCCTGAGCATCCTTTTCTATCTGTATCCATGATGTCCCCGCTTTTTCAATTTCCGCTTGTACCGCTCGCCTCCATGTCATCTTTGGTCTTCCCTTCTTACGCTTTCCTTGTGGGTTCCACCTTCTTCCGATGTTTTTGTAGCTGCTTTTTGTTTTACGGGAAAGGGCTGCTAACCCTTTGCCCAACCGACCTTAGTCGCCTTCTACGACATGCGCGGTACGGATACAGTGGTCCTATTCTTTGCTCCCCTGTCTCTTGGATAGGGCCCCGAGAACCACACGGGGTGCTAGATAGAAGCAGACCTTATTTTCTTTTTGATAAGTATGTTTCGTTGAGCAAAAAAGACTACTTACCCATCATCACGAAGCCTTCAATGACGTGATAGTCTGTCAGTTCAAATATGGCATAAGGTGTCGTGGAAGATGAGCCCACCCATCCTCCATTTGACAACGAGAAGGCTCTCAGACTGAAAGATAGAAAAAAATCGAATAGATTAAAGTCTACTTGATTAACCCCCCCCCAACCCCTCCCTAATTCTTTTAAAAATAAACAGCTAAAGATTTTGTCATTATATTAGTGTTTTAGCACCTTTGAATGGTAGCTTGCATTGTATGCTTCCCGAGAAGATGAGATTGTTTTAGAACGCTATTAAGTATCGATTGTAAAGTGCATAGAGTTTGCTGTTGAGTTGGAATTTACGCTATACAAATACTATCTATTGTTATTTTTATTACTAATGAACACATTAAAAGCGTATTTTGTGCTTAATCCTCACGGCAACTCACTTGTAGCCCCAAACAAAGCGTGGCGACCCTAGGTGTGAGTAAAAGATCAAGTTGATCAAGTAGAAAGCCTAGATTATTTTTTTTAGAATAGCAAAAATCACTTATAAAAACAACCACATTTATTTAAAATGACAATGCTTGAAATTTGGATGAAAGTTATTCATTTTTACATGGTGTAAAAGAACTTCGTCTCTTTCGTTGTGGCTGGTGCGTGCTATTATACGTGTTTCAATTGTTGTTGTGGGGTTTTGTATTCTTGCTGTATTGCTGCTGTAACTTTGCTAGTTCCTGTCTCAGTTTCTGAAGTTACACTGGCTATGTATGAGTCTCACGACCAGGTGTGTGCACATGTGTGCGTGTTATGTGTTCGTGAGTGTGTATGTGTGTGTTTGTGTGTCTGTATGTTTGTTTATATATGTGTGTGTTTGAGTGTGTATGAGTGTGTGTATTTGTGTGTGTGTGTGTGTGTGTGTGTGTGTGTGTGTGTGTGTGTGTGTGTGTGTGTGTGTGTGTGTGTTGCGTGCATGAATATTGTTCGTACATACATTTATGTAAAGCGCCCAGAGCTGTGTTTACACGTGAGTGGGCGCTATAGAAATGATCTTCATTATTATTATTATTATTATTATTATTATTATTATTATTATTATTATTATTATTAATCAGGCGCTCGTCAGTTTGGGGCATACAGAGTTATTGGTATAATCTTAAAGCCCGATCACTTGCTTTGCTTTTACCGGAAAAGAAATACCAGTCTATAACAAAAAGAAGTATTTGCGATTGAAGGAGTTGGGGGTCGCCTGGTGTCAGAGGTAAAGTCAGGGGGAGAAAACGACCACCATATTCCTTCCAGAACTGTAGCGTCCCAGGAAGCTGCAAATTTGCTTTTCGTACTTTTGATCAACTTTTTTACTCAGTAAAATCAATGGACGAGTAATGAGTATAAAAGTGAACATAAAAGGTGTTGAGCCAACAACAAAACGAAATAAAAATCTATAAAAATTGCCAAACGATTTCATTATTTTGACAAGCACCTGATTCACTACGATGCCTCGCATAAGATAAGATACAATAAGTTAAGATACAATAAGTTAAGATACAATAAGTTAAGATACAATAAGTTAAGATAATACTTTATTTTTTATTGTTCCAGAGGGAACTTTTTCTTGGCCGTACAGAATAAATGAAAGATTTAATACAGACAGACATACTTACACAACATCATTAGGCCCATTGGGCTCTGCTACCTCGAGGACCGATGCAGTCCCGTAGTTCAACAAGCAGGAGCTGCGTTCACCTGGCGGGAGTTAGATTCACGTTACAAAAAGTCACTACCTCAGAACTGTAAAGTTCTACCTGACACTTTTTGGCCGTTTCGAGTTACCAAGATCTTGAGATGATAAACAAAATGTTCTATCTACTCGATCAAAACCGTGAGAGTTTTCGGAGTCGTGATCGAGATATTCAAAAAAATTCCATTAGAAAGAGCTTGACATGTTATGAAACTCGAAATCTTTTACGTCACTTTTCTCAATAGTTAAGCACTGAGCGGATAGAACTTTAAAATTCTGAGGTAGCGAAGTGTCATTTACCACTGACAGACAGACAGACAGACAGACAGACAGACAGACAGACAGACAGACAGACAGACAGACAGACAGACAGACAGACAGACAGACAGGCAGACATACACAGACAGACAGACAGACAGACAGACAGACAGACAGACAGACAGACAGACAGACAGACAGACAGACAGACAGACAGACAGACAGACATACACAGACAGACAGACAGACAGACAGACAGACAGACAGACAGTCAGACAGACAGAAAAGAGGGACACTAAAGAACTAGACCTACCAGTGGCGCTTTTTAGCCACCCTCACAAAAGTCAGAGAGAAGCAAAAAAACAACAGAATAGACACAAGAGTGAGGGACATGGTCAGAGTTTTAACCTCTTATCAACCATGTGAGTTCTGGAAAGTGTTCATTTGGACCCCCCATTTTAACGTTTTTCGAGTATGAAGTCTCGACGACCCCATAATGATCCCAAGAAAAGCACAGGCCCCCAATACGCTTAACGGGTCATGTAGTTTCGAATACAAAAAATGCAGGAAGAATAATAGTTTTCACCATATTTTCTGTGTAATAGGTATTTTATGTGTATACACATAATCGCGCACACACGCAGGAGTACACAAACATACACACACACACACACACACACACACACACACACACATTCTCTCTCACTCTCTCTCTCTCATTCACTCTCTTTCGCTCTCACCTGCCCCCCCCCCCTTTTCTTTCTCTCTCTTGAGTCGAGGAGTGCAGTGTGTGGAGGAAAGGGTAGGTGAACATTAACTAAGGGAGGTGCAATGTAAATGAAGTGGACAGATGATAAGGGAGTAAATAAATGACAAATGGTTAATACAAAGCATTAGTAAAGCGTATTTCATCGTTTAACAGCATACTATGTGGCTTTCATAGTCTTAATAAGTTGAGCGCTGTCTTCTGTTTTGGCCTATTCTATAACCAGAGAGATCTCTCACGTCAACAATAAAGCTAGACACTGACTCAGAGTAAGGTAAATCGAGTGGACATAGGGTAAAGTTAAATAATACAAAGGAATACTCAGTAAATCTCATTTGTAAAGGGTTTATCCCCCCTTAACAAGATGCTCTAACTGCAACAACACTGCACTTATCACATCATGGCATAGGACAGAAGGTCGAGGAACTAACTGTTGCCGGATCAATAACAACAAGAACAACTGGGACAAGAACATCTAGAACAACTAGAAAAACAACAACAACAACAGCAACAACATGACCTGTGCTTTTTAGAGTCTATGTACTATATATATAAGTTGAGTGGTGTCTGGAGGCTCTCGTGGCCTAGAGGTTAAGGTGTTGGCCTCTCATTCAAAGGTCCCGGGTTCGAATCCGGGTAGTGACCGAAAAATTATCTTCTCTAAAATTGTCTCCTTTCACCTCCTTTCCTGCTCTCTAGCAATGTTCTGTTATCTGCTTTCATTTCCACTTTCTGCCCCCACCCCCTCACCTCCTTTGCCCCCTCCTCTGGGCTCCTGACTCTTTCTGCAGCCTTTCTACTGCTACTCCTTGGCTCCTCCTAACTGCTGTCTTTCTGCCACACCCCTGATCTTCTGGAAGGAAAGATCTACACCTAGCCTTCTCAGACAAGGGCCAAAAATCTCGGAGGGCCCGTGTGCAAGTTGCGCACGTTAAAGATCCCTTGGTGGTCTAAAATCGATAAGAGTAGGCTTCGGCCGCCACCCGGGCAAAATTCAAAATTTCCTACCAACTGAAAATATTAGGTGTGTCCCGCGCGCTCATATGACCTTATGCAGTTGCGAGCGCCGTAAAATACTTTACAAAAACAAACAAATGAGCGGTGTCTTCCATTTGGCCTATTCAGTTCCGCACTGGCTTCCATGAGGCACATTATTATTCTGAGACCAGAGAGCTTTCTCCTATTAGCAAGAAGGCAGACACTCACTCAGCTTGAAGCAGGAGACATACAAGGCTGTGTCTGTGAGGTAGGTGGACGGGACAACAACGCCGTAGGTGAACAATTCCTCGCAGCTTTTTGTCTTGAGATGTAGCTGGTCTGAGGGGAAATCTATTCAGAGAAACACAATAAGCAATGAGACAGTCAGCATTCTGTCTTTATTTTTCTTTCTTTCCTTCTTTCTTTCTTTACTTTCTTTATTTTTGTTTTACTTTCTTTCTTTCTTTACTTTAATTTTTACTTTATTTATTTATTTATTTATTTATTTATTTATTTATTTATTTATTTATTTATTTACTTATTTACTTATTTACTTATTTATTTATTTATTTATTTATTTATTTATTTATTCATTGGGAGGGGGGGGGGAGGTTGCTCATTGTAAGTTGGCTTACTATAAATTAGTCTCCTAATTTGATGCATCTGAGCGTGACTTGTTCTCAAGTTTACATGATGAAAAAGAAGGGTATGAGAGACTGGCAAAAGGATACGTACTAACTCAGAAATTGAAATGCGAACTGAAAAAGCCAACGCTGTCATCTACCAGCTCGCACCCCTCCTATCTCATTCAAACATCCCCATGGACACAAAGAGACAGCTTATCACCTCAATATTCATACCACCATTATGCCAACCCGGGCTGAGAGGGATACAATATCACTTCAGGAAGACCGAGATACTCGATAACAATTTCTCCCCACTAAAGAATAGAGCTCGGGAGCATCTAAATTAACCGCTACACCACTGACGGCGGTAAGATAAAGAACAGCCCCCCCCCCCCCCCCAAATAAAAATTTTAAAAAGTACAAGTAAAGCACTTACCAATGTCGTAGACAGAATACACGTGCGAAACATGGGATGGCCCTCCACAAAGTTGAGTGCTCTGTCCTGGACATACCCACGAACACGAGCTGGCTGGGCTCAGAGCTTCAATGGAGGAATTAAAACACAGGCACTCATTGTCCGCGGACCTGATGGCGGCTAATGATTTCCCCGGTACACCTTTGCAGTAAGAGGCACACTGTTGTACTGTCATTCTCATGTCCAACTTCATTGATTCCGCATCAGGTGGAAGAGATGCTATCTCAGCACATTGTGTGTCCTCTGAAAAAGAAAAAGAAATCCTAAAAGTCATGAATCTCCATCAATATGCCTCAGCTTACCGAAAAGGCGACAGTTTCATCCATGTCTGTAAAATTCAACTCGTGTTGAGGGCAAACAGCATCCCAGTACAAAGACGGAGATACTCAATAAATTAGATCCCCCCCCACCACCCCCCTCCCTCACTAGGAAATCGAATGTACGTCTTTAACATGTAACAGCGAGGTCCTTTACCTCGGTAAGGACGCCGACGAAAGGGAGAACTTGAAGTGTAAGGAACAAAAGATAAAAAGGCAACCAAACTGATATCCGCACAGAAGAAATTTATTTTAACAATGGCATGCATAACAATTACTGACATAATATCATCATCAAAGAAAACAGTAGCAATCATTGAGGTGTGTGTGTGGGGGGGGGGGGGGGGGGAGGGGCGCTACTTTCCAGTCCTTGTTCTGAATTGAGGTCACCGTGGCTTGCTCAGGAACACAACATAGTGCTCTATTCCGAACCGGCGTATCAAAATTAACACAATGACTCAGAAGTGACTTTTTGCCTGCTAGATCTCGAAGACAACAACATAAGAAACATTTCAACCAAGGGTGCATCAGGTATTATTTTTGTGAGCGTTAACTGAACGTGTAATAATCTGCCAGGACCCTTTCAATTCTGTTTCACTAACGCTGTTATACTTACCATCGAAGTATTCGCAGATGAAAGGAAGCTTTGTATTGCAGTCCACAGATACCAAGCTTGAGCTGCTTATGTTGATGGCAATACACTTAAGACCTTCCCCTGTGAAAAAGGTGTAACGAAACAGCAATAACTTGCAGATCAAACATACAAGCTTCAAGCTCTCTTAATATCTTACATACTTCTACGTTAAAGGGAAAGTGCTTAGCTTACACTTGTATATCGAATGAGTATTGGACTAAAAATATAGGGGTTTAGAGTCAGAAACAAACGTAACAATTTGTTAAAGTCCTCCATACCATCATTTTTGGTTGAAGAATCTCAAAAAATGCAATGTACATGTACATTTTCTGTAGTAAAATCGCTCAATACTTGTCCCGTAATGTTCTTTCAGGAACATAGGGGAGTTTTTGATAAGGGGATCTTGCAAAAATTATTCTAGGAAAAGTTAAGGCTCCAAAGTGTTAAAGATGCATACAACTCGTAACAGCGTTGTGCATAAACAGATTGAGGGACTACCACCACCACCATCATCATCACCCTCTCCTTCATACGTAAGCAAGTGTCAGTGACACGGGGTTTAGATGGGTGGTCACTGGGGTGTGTCTTTGAGCAAGACACTACAACCCTAGCTCAAAATACAGGGGGCGGCACAGTGGCGACCGACAGTGGCATGGTTGTAAACTGTTTTGTATTAGTGTAATATTGGGTATTTATGTATGTATTTATGTATGTATGTATCTATAATTATGTATTTATGTATGTATGTATGTTTGCCATTGTAAACTAAAGTGCCCGTCTGAGACAAAAAAGTGTAATTTATATTAACTTTAGTTTTTGTCAATGCTTCTGTAGTAATCATAATTATTCTACTGACATGCATATTTTAAAAATAAAATCTGCTTTGATAAGCACGTTTATTTGCACCAGCATCAATAATCGCAAGTTAACAACCCAAATGATAACTATAAAACGAAAAACGTTGTGGAAACGACACTGAAAAGAAAAGTAGCTAGAGCAAGCCATATCAATGGGTCCGCCAATCGTTTATCTCGTAAAGATAAAGTATGCCAACCCTCTCCTTCCCCTTATTCTTTGAAGAATATGACACTCGGAGACCGCTATTTCGTGTTGACAACGACAATGATAATTATGGCTATGATAATCTTCATTTCCTATACTATAATACACAGTTTCACTGCCACTCTAGAAGTTTCCAAGTAGGTCAGGGGGGCGTTTCAAAGTGTACGTGTGTGTGTAAGTGTGTTTGTGTGTAAGTGTGTTTGTGTGTAAGTGTGTTTGTGTGTGCGTAAGTGAGTGTGTGTGTTTGTGTGTGTGAGTGAGTGTGTGTGTGTGTGTGTGTGTGTGTGTGTGTGTGTGTGTGTGTGTGTGTG